TTTTTTTTTTTTATGAGAAGTTTGCCCAGAGTCTGTGAATTGCAGTTCTGAGTTTCATTTATTGTGCCCGACAATATTGTGGGTTTAAAGTAATTTAATATCATCAAATATTCTCAGAAGTGGCATCACAAAATTAATGTTATTGTTACTTTCCTTTTATTTCAGGTCCTGGCTTCCGCAGGCCTGGGTTCTATTGTCCGTGTTCTAACTGACAGAAAAACTGTTTAGATGAGAAAGTGGATTTATTAAACAAACAACTATTGCCTTAAAATAATGTTTGAATATTTTTCAATTCAAGTTCATGAACTATGATGTATTTCTCAGTTGATAGTATTCGTTAATAAATTTTCAAAGTTCATTTGTAACCATTTTGTAGCCTTTTCATAGAAGTTACAGTCAAAATACTTAAACACATTTCACTTATATTAGTTTAGAATGACTTTAATCAAGGGGTGATTGCATTTTATATTGTACTGCATTATTATTTGATAAAGTGTTCAACCTCAAATAAGTGCCTTCCCTGGAATGAACGCCCAATCTGTAGGTAGGAAAATAATTAAGGACCCAGCCTTGAATAAGTGCCCACTACACTGTTCTGCCTGACATAGAAACCTCTAGGTTCTTATACATCTATGTCGGTTTTTACTGTACACCAAGTATTTTGACTTTAATTCCTATCCAGTTCTCATTCGCAAAATTTATACTACTACATGAGAAATTCCAGCAATTTGATTGGCTTAGAGCAGTGGTATTTCAGCTTAATTTGAAATACCTACACGTGAAAATTACAACCTTTTGCGGTAGTAGTATAAACAAATAATAGCATGATTTGTACGTGATTTTTGGCATAAATACCACTGGTGACATTTCAAAATTGTCTCAAATTTCCTTCCCCTAACGGCTAGTGAAATTACATATAACAATTTTGAAATATCACTTGTGGTATTTATGCCAAATATCACTACTAATCTTGCTATTTCCTATACTAACTTGTGAGGTGAAAAAGAACCACAAGAGTGTACTTCAGTAGTTTTCGTCTTTGATTTTTAATAATAATATTAAAGTACAATAGAGGATATTTCACAAAATTAACTGGTTTGATTGTTATACTACTGTTTGCAAAAAATTGATAACTACTGACAAAGCTACATAGAAGTTCTTGGGAGTACAAAAGATGAAATTACATGTAAAATAACAAAGTGAACTTGTGAGTTAAAGATGCAATTGTCCATTTACTTATAAAATGAGGTAAAGGAAAGAAATGATTGCCTTTCTTCGCTGCTGTATTTTTGTAATGGTTTTTTTTTTCAATGTAGGAACATCAGATTTGAAAATAAAAGAACACTCACCTTCATCTTGAAAGATATGCTTTTATGATTTCAGCTGAATCAAAACTGTGCTTATAGGTAATGTTAGGTCCCTCCTTGACTGTTCACTGCCACAGTGTTCTCAATGCAGTTGTAGGGAACACAGAGCTAGGGGATAGGGGTTAGCCTCCCATGCAGACCTTTTGGCCCATCATGCAATCCACCTCCCCACACACACACCCACAGAAAACTCTTCCCTGATGAATTTCATTAATTGTTCCTCTTTAATTTTACAAGAAGCTTTTCTTTTGTTTTAATACACAGTTCAGCTCACATCTGCTATGAATATAACGTGTCTATCATCTGATCTATGTGTATCAGGAAATTTTGGCCAGTACCCAACACATAAACAAGCAACTCACAGAGGTTCCCATCTTGTCTCTATTGCATTGTTTTTTCAATTTGCCCTTAACTGAAACATCAGCTACAGCATTTGCTTTTTTTTCTCCAACAAGGCCAGAATAAAGAACACCTAATTTGACCAGCCATAAATTACCCTTCAACCCATCATGTTACATGATTGCCCCATAGTAAGAACTGCTAAATCATCTTAAAGCAATAAAATTAAGTGACCTAAATTGTACTTGCTCTGCCTTGCTTTAATAGAATTCTACCATTCGTTGACATTTGGGCAGAAAAACGTTGGTTTTTTTCTTTTTTTAATGACAACTAACCCGCAGCCAATTTGAACAGAACTGTGTCATTTGTACTGTTTCTGGACCAATCAAAAAAGAACTACAACTTATGACCTTTCAACAAGGGAACTGATGGGCTTAATTTTTTCTCTTATCCCATCCTTTCTAGCACCTGCCACATAGAGGGTTGGGGAAGGGGGATGAGAGAAAGACCGGGTACTCTTGAGATCTGGGATTTGATGGAAATACAGTGCTGGTTAGTTTCTGGGAAAACCCAAAATTTCTTGACAGGAATGGTGCGGGATGTGGCATTGAGAAAGAAAATGGTATTCTGGATAGTCATGGTATAGGAGTGGGAATGCAGGTTCAAGACCCCCCTTCCAGACATAAATATTTTTTATTTGTTTAAACAACTTTACACTATTAAAGTGTAAGGCAAACAAAACAAATTGAAAGTAAAACAGTTTATTGTCGTATAACCTTAAAAAAAAAAAAACAGTACCAGATCATTAAAACAAAGCACAGCCTTGAAAAATTATTGCCTTGCATCCTGTACAAATTATTATTTAAAGCCATTCACACATATTCCAGCATTAAAAGACTCATGGAAAAGTTAAGTATGATACATGCAAGAATGTCACATCCATGTAATTTAATGTCGCCAATCATATTAACCAAATGGCTGGTTTCAGCTTGTGGCCTCCTTCAAATAAGCAATGAGATCTGAGAAAAAAAGAAAAGACATCCAGTTTCACTGCAAAAACCCCTCAATTTCGAAAACTGTCAATAGAGTAGTCTGACTATACAGCAATGTATGAGCAGGTGCAATGTTGATTCAAGCCTTAAGTGACTCTTGAGCTAATTTCAAATAACAACTTGATATTCTCTTTTTGTCTCAAAAAAAAGTAAAAGGAAATTTGTTGGGAAAACCTCACACTTAATCCAGAAGTCACATGGGACTTTTTTTCCAGACATCATTTCATTAAATTAAGTGTTTTTTTAGCATACCTGCCCTTTCATTTTTCTTCTTAAGGCCTGCAAAGACCATCTTAGTACCTAAAAAATAAAATTGAAGATTAGAAATTCAAATAAGTGAAAAGCAGATGGGTAACTAGTCCATGCTGGGGAGCACATTTTTGTAAAATAATAATAGTTCATTTGATGTTATAGGTAATGCAGATTATGTAAGGTGCTAACATGGTGCAGGTCAAGGCTGTCACTAGGAATAATTTCAAAGTAGGTGGGAAAATCAACCATTAGGAATGTGCTTAAGGTTCTTTCCTTTTGTTTTCTGCAAAAGTACCTGGGGGTCAAGTGTGTGGTAGCTGGAGGGAACCACTGGCCCATAGTTAGAGCCCTGAGGGTAATATATCTTAAATCATAAACTTTAGAGTACAAATTTAAGGTGTCACTATTACATGGATATTTCTACCTTTGCCTAAGTTGGATCTATCAAGTGGATGTACTAAAAATGCCTACGCAAATCAGTGGTACAGTGAATACCAATCACCTTTATTTTAAGAACAGGAGCACTATCTATGTTTAGAATTCTACAGAGTTAGGTAAAGGTACATGTAAAGAACTCAGCTTTGTCATATACCAGGAATGTACTTCTTTGGGTTTTCCAGGTAAATCCACAATGTATCAGGTCCCCAAGTAATGCCTTTGTTCTTATTGGAATCTGTGTATGAGAAACCTGCAGCCTGTCCTGTCTTGCGTCCAAACAGGCCATGAAGGTTGGGCCCTGTTTTGTGTTTACCACCCTACAAAATCAACGGCAACAGTGGTTACTAACCAGTAGATAAGCTAAGATATGATATAAATCAATACCATACTGTAATCCTTTTAGTTACGGTTTGCTTACAAATCTCAATACGGTTAATTCTAATGTGACATTCCATTATCACTAATTACTTCATTATATGTGGCCTGAATCTGGGTGTGTATTAGAGTTTATTTTTGTTTTGTACATGTAAGTGGGCACACTCATGATGGACACCAAACAAAGTATGACAGCATATTTCATTGGTGGATGTAAAAAAGGGAGCAAGCCAAAGTGTGCTCATATTCCAGGGACTTTTCTGAAGCACAAAATTAATATGCATCACAGACGAGCAAGGAGAGTGGGTTCACACATGTCAAGGGGTGGTAGTTTAAGAGTTATTTTAGAACTGAGTAGATCTGCAAAACTTTCATGAGATTAAACAAGACTTCTAAATCTTTTTTTCTGAAAAACTTAAAGGCACCACACTCACTTTGAATGACTGGTTTTCTTGCTGTTCTGATGGGGGATGGTATAGTATAACTTATTATTGTGTCTAGTACATTATTTTGATGAAGATTATATTTATTTATTGTTTTCTAGGAATTTGAAACAGTTCTAGCCTTGGTTTAGAAGAAGAAGAGGTTAAGAAGAGGAAGATTGCACATTAAGAAGCCAATCATATCATAAAAATTCCTTACTGCTTCTACAGTGTGGCACTGTGCACATTTTGTCTTAAAGATCTTGGCTCCTTTTGTAGCATCTCCATCTGGTATACCTTCACCCATTTTGTTCCTGCAAAAGCAATCATTACAGTCATTTGTCCTATGTTAACCTTCATTAAAAGAAACCAAGATTAATATGCATGTTGTGGTTCAATTTTTGGTCAGTTAAATTCATTACCATACATGTACACTGCCATTTATATACCCAAAAACAAAGGAAAATAACATTTAAAAAATTAAACCACAACATGTACACACACTGTGCAAAACTTTTTCCTTTTACACTGGACACATGTTCTCAACATAATCAACAAAATTCTGCCTGTAACTTTAGCACAGCAAGGTTAGGAATGACAAGCAATAGCAACAGCCTGCCTTCTTTTACGTTCAGGCCTAATATTAGTAGTATGATATAATATTATTAGGATCGGTCTGATTACTAAACAATTGTAGTTTCACAACCAATATAAAGTTTCCCCTTCCAATATTGTTACAATGCCACACAGACTGGGCACCATAATATAAAAAGAAAGGAACACTTAGCCACAAAATGATCTTACGATACAATCTGAGATTGGAGCTGAATGGTTGGGTTATATTGAAAGTGCTATTAGTTTGAGATTGTGGATTTACAGAATAGAAAATTTACGTTTAGTTTGTCTCCTTCTCCAATGCACCACACAAAAATCTGCAAACATGGCCTTATGACCAAAAGAAGTCTCTTGAAATACAAAGACTTGAAAGCAGAAAGGGAAATTGCGTCATTCAAGTCAGGTCACAAGTGAGATTGCTGATGTGTTAGAACAAGTAGGTATGACCACTACATGCCGGGTGCTAGCATTCAAATACTGCGATGTCTAGAAAAAGATTTGTTATTCTTAAAAACTGAAATCAAATGATCACTTAAACGTGCGTTCCACTTTCTACTAATCTGAAATAAAGTTCACCTAATCGGTGATGTATCAATCTTATTAACAGGCTAGGAGCAGATTACCGTACCACCACTCCTCCCATGAAAAACATTGCCAGGAATAAATAATCCTGAAACAATCACTTTACGAACATTGCGAGTTCGTTAAACAATAAAATAAGAAAGAGACAAGTGCTGTCAGTAAAACGAAATTTATAGATACAAGACCAGAAGAGCCGAAAGCCGGTAAATTTTTACGCGCGTAACATACACGTGCCTTACTACAACACTGACGATCTCTCGTCGAAATCACTCCTTTGACACCACCAAAGTCATACTGTGTAAACCTTGGAGCAATCCCAACCCGTACATAAAATTTTTATCGCAGATTCGTACCTACCTTTGATGTAAAAAGTATGGTATTTCACGACGACAGTATTGCTTCTCACTTCCCGTTCAAGCGACAATTTGAAAGGTTCAACCGGTTTTGCGTCACCACTTATGTAAGAAACTTGACAATACGCATGATCTGTGCGGTCTGCATGCTCGCGGGCTCATACTCTACAAAGCATGCTGGGATATCTTTTTGGTCGCCTGGAAGTTTTCTGTTCTCGTGCAATCATGTCTGGACGGTTAGAGCTTTTACAAACTTTAACAGGTACTAGCAGGCAATAAGTGCGTCGAATTTTGAGAAATAATGACACTTGTTGAATAGCAACCATCGCATGACACAAGGGGTTAGGACGTTGGAACAGACCAGCACAAATATACGTTGATTGGCTGTTGTTTTGAAGGATATCGGTGGCAATCTATCGCAGGAAGGTGAACAAGAGAACGTGGAACGAAGGTTTCGTTGAAGGTCAAACGAGATCTACTTGATTGTGATGATAAAAGCTAAATGCTTCGTTGTACTACTGGAGTAAATACTCGACGAAATAGCGAGGTTTTCTATAATTGCTTCAAGGTTTTTGTTTGCTGAGGTTTATATTAATTTATACTGTATGTTTTAAAATTGAAAGAGAAATCGATGTCCTTACTTTCTTTTCACCTCTTTTAGTTGTCAAGACAGATAAATTAATAATGTTGCCTTTTTCTTTCCTAACAGGTCATGAAGACAGAATATGGTCATTGTCTTGGAACCCCTCTGGAACTTTGTTAGCAAGCTGTAGCGGGGACAAAACCATACCATTCTACTTTATACAATGACTCTTAAAATAAGCATCAGCCCGTTTACACTACACATATAATTTATGCCTTTGTAGCTAATCTCAGAAGGATTAAGAACCATCGCAGCCTTTGCAAATATTGTGCATCATTGTTGCATAGCTTTCTCCTTCTAAGATTGATGTCAACTCATTCTGGCCCAAGATAACTCTTCTCCCTCAACCTTTAGCTCTGTATAATTGCTATTTCCAGTTATTTTCACTGAGATTTTGTTCTTCTTTGTGCTTAAAACTCAGGTCTGGATTTAAATGACGAGTTTTGTTGTTTGGTTGATTTCTTTTCTTATTTCCGTGATTTCTTTTGATGAACACATCCGTCTTTGGGGCAAAGAGGGTGATCAGTGGGTGTGCAAGACAATTCTTGAAGATGGACATCAGCGGACCATCAGATCAGGTGAGAAACGTATATATTCAGCATGTTATGAAAATCACTATGTCTTGTAAATGCCTTGGTCAGTTGCCTGTATCAGTATGTTAATGCCGAGGTTAATGAATAATTCATTAACCTCGGCATTATTGTCAAAGTCAAAATCACTTCACTCTCATTATTTATATAATTTGATGCACATTTGATCATATGTAGAAGAGGAAGATTGCACATTAAGAAGCCAATCATATCATAAAAATTCCTTACTGCTTCTACAGTGTGGCACTGTGCACATTTTGTCTTAAAGATCTTGGCTCCTTTTGTAGCATCTCCATCTGGTATACCTTCACCCATTTTGTTCCTGCAAAAGCAATCATTACAGTCATTTGTCCTATGTTAACCTTCATTAAAAGAAACCAAGATTAATATGCATGTTGTGGTTCAATTTTTGGTCAGTTAAATTCATTACCATACATGTACACTGCCATTTATATACCCAAAAACAAAGGAAAATAACATTTAAAAAATTAAACCACAACATGTACACACACTGTGCAAAACTTTTTCCTTTTACACTGGACACATGTTCTCAACATAATCAACAAAATTCTGCCTGTAACTTTAGCACAGCAAGGTTAGGAATGACAAGCAATAGCAGCAGCCTGCCTTCTTTTACGTTCAGGCCTAATATTAGTAGTATGATATAATATTATTAGGATCGGTCTGATTACTAAACAATTGTAGTTTCACAACCAATATAAAGTTTCCCCTTCCAATATTGTTACAATGCCACACAGACTGGGCACCATAATATAAAAAGAAAGGAACACTTAGCCACAAAATGATCTTACGATACAATCTGAGATTGGAGCTGAATGGTTGGGTTATATTGAAAGTGCTATTAGTTTGAGATTGTGGATTTACAGAATAGAAAATTTACGTTTAGTTTGTCTCCTTCTCCAATGCACCACACAAAAATCTGCAAACATGGCCTTATGACCAAAAGAAGTCTCTTGAAATACAAAGACTCGAAAGCAGAAAGGGAAATTGCGTCATTCAAGTCAGGTCACAAGTGAGATTGCTGATGTGTTAGAACAAGTAGGTATGACCACTACATGCCGGGTGCTAGCATTCAAATACTGCGATGTCTAGAAAAGGATTTGTTATTCTTAAAAACTGAAATCAAATGATCACTTAAACGTGCGTTCCACCTTCTTCTAATCTGAAATAAAGTTCACCTAATCGATGATGTATCAATCTTATTAACAGGAGTAGATTACCGTACCTTCACTCCTAACATTGCCAGGAATAAATAATACTGAAAGATTGATTTTACGAACATTGCGAGTTCGTTAAACAATAAAATAAGAAAGAACAAGCGCTGTCAGTAAAATGAAATTTACAGTTACAAGACCAGAAGAGGCGAAAGCCGGTAAATTTTTACGCGTGTACCATACACGTGCCGAAGTACAACACCGACGATCTCTCGTCGAAATCACTCATTTGATACCACAAAAGTCATACTGTGTTAACCTTGGAGCAATCCCAACCCGTACATAAAAGTTTTATCGCAGATTCGTACCTACCTTTGATGTAAAAAGTACGGTGTTTAACGACGACAGTATTGCTTCTCACTTCCCGTTCAAGCGACAATTTGAAAGGTCCAACCGGTTTTGCGTCACCACTTATGTAAGAAACTTGACAATACGCATGACCTGTGCGGTTTGCATGCTCGCGGGCTCATACTCTACAAAGCATGCTGGGATATCTTTTTGGTCGCCTGGAAGTTTTCTGTTCTCGTGCAATCATGTCTGGACGGTTAGAGCTTTTACAAACTTTAACAGGTACTAGCAGGCAATAAGTGCGTCGAATTTTGAGAAATAATGACACTTGTTGAATAGCAACCATCGCATGACACAAGGGGTTAGGACGTTGGAACAGACCAGCACAAA